TCTATCTATCTATCTATCTATCTATCTATCTATCTATCTATCTATCTTTGTCTGTCTTATACCTTTATATTATCTATCATTTTCTACATCATTTTCTACAGTATCATCTATCTCTTTATTATCTATATCATCTATAGATAATATATCTTTATATCTGTCTTATCTATCCATCCATCCATCCATCCATCTTTGTGTCTTATACCTTTATCTTATCTATCATTTTCTACAGTATCATCTATCTCTTTATCATCTATATCATCTATATCTTTATATCTATCTTATCCATCCATCCATCTATCTAAATACTAGACCAATAGTCAAGTAGTCCAACAATCAAGTAGCCCAACCAAGGAACTCTCCCACCAACACTTGACAGATCAAGTCACTAGTATATAAACAGAGAGCAAACCCCATTCCTTACTAGTACTTATGATGTTACCTAGTTGGTAATGAAACATCTGTGACAAAACCACCAATCTTAGAGAGTACCAAGGACCCCAATACATTAGATGTTTTATAGGTGATTGTTCCAGACAGTAACCTGGATTCTGTCACTGGTCTCTTGAGCTGGCTGATGGTGGCTGGACAGCTATTATTTTTCTAAGCTTTCTGAGAAATTTGGATTGGCCATGTTCCAGCCAGCTCAGGCTAACGGTTCTAGGATAAGAAGGTAAAAAAGCCTCAGAGAAGCAGCTGACAGTCAGAATTGACTCTACTGATGGACCCCTGCTCCATCTCAGTGAATGCCAACCTCATGAAGTTATTTTGATACCACACTTCAGGATGAATTTTTTTTAATAATTATGTCTTTTACAGGCAGAAGATAATTCTCTTGCTCTGACCTATGATTCTGATACAGAAACAGTAAGTTGGGTTAGATATCATTCAGTTCTCTCATTTTCTATAAGTTGATCCGGGATGGATTCAGATGTCACACTAAAAAAACAATTCGTTAATCAAACCACAGTAATCTGGTCTACGTCTGTTTGTTTTCAGATTCTAAACTCTTCTGAGCATTTTCTACCTTTTAAAACACTTTGGAATCGATGTGACCTTAAAACACAGGGTGCTCTCGTAGCCATCGGATTCCAATAAATCTGTAATTGCAAGAGAATTCTGCTCAGAAAATGGAACACCAACAGGGAATTCACTGAGAAAGATGCCCTACTAACAAATTACAACACAAAGTCTTTTTTGTTTTACAGACACTAAAGAAAAAAATGTCTCGCAGGCCCGCAAAATCAAGTAAGTGTCACACCGCGTTGGTTTCACCTGGTGTCCTTTCCTTTGAGACAACTTAATCTTAATAAAAATTGGCGACTTTTCATGGTACAAGTTCCCCTTTTTATGGAAAGGGATTGAGAGAGAGAACTCGCTGCTAGCATAAGTACAATGCTTTCTTCCAAAAACTTACCCAGTTCTTTTAAAACATGTCACCTTTTTGCTACCTGATTACGAAAGGCCCTCTCGGCTATGAGTTATGCAGCACTTTCTGTACATGCACGCACACGATTATGAATTTTTTTTTTTGCTTTTTTACGAGATCCTAAAGAGCCCGCTCACCTCATAACAAAATGAAATGTTAGTATCTTGCTTGCTTTTTAAAACGTTTCATCTTGGGGTTTTTTTTTTCTTTTGTCCTTCCTGCAGGGTCTCCGTACACCTCTCACACCTGCCTCCATTCTAAACGGACTGGATTTCTGCGGACGTTCAAAAGCGCAGAGAGTAAACGCTTTGAGAGCCCCTTAGTGAAAGCCTCAAGGCAGTACTGGCGTGGGTCTCTGAAGCAAGGTGTGAAATCTTGGCTCTTCCTTTAACAGAGCATTCCAGAGCCCAGTAGAACTGGGCTTAAAATCCAGATTAAATGGTCTGGTCAACGTGTAGCCAGGAGCTGACTTTGCACACAAAGGGGATGCATTTGCCCAGATCAGGGGTCCCCAAACTTGGCAACTTTAAGACTTGTGGACTTCAGCTCCCAGAATTCCTCAGCCAGCTTTAAAGTTGCCAAGGTGGGAGACCCGGCCATAGGCTGACTCTGCAAACCTCTTAGAGAGGACTCTAGTAAAAGTCTAAGTGCTGTTGCTATTGTTATTTTTCTTGGTGCCGCTGTCAGACCTGCCACCACTCATCTGCAATTATATTGCGAAGGAAGACACAAAAGTATATTGCGAGCAAGCGTAGCCAGAACTGAGGATCGGAGGCCAAAATCCCTAGGTTCAATTTTTTTCCCTCCCTTGATTCCCTCCCGTTGCCCACCCCTAGGCAATAAGTCAGGTTTAGGCAGGATGTTTTCGTAACAGTCGGTTCAAGCTTGCAGGATGGTATGCAGCTGATATGCTGGGTGACCTTGAAGCAGCATCTTCAAAGTCACCCAGCATAGAGATGGCAGCGCTTACTTTCGTTTTCCTCCTTGTTTGCCTCCCCCCCAACCCCACTTCATGGCAATCTGTCAGCGAATAGCCCCGAAATGCAAGCAAGCATTGAGATGACAGCTGACAGCCCCATTCCCCTCTTCACTAGGTACCTGGATGAGCCACTCCAAGTCCGACATTGGCATCAGAACTGCTTTCTCCCCTCTGGCCGGCAGCACACCTGAGTATCTCAAGGAAGCTTTGGGGATGAAGAAACCGAAACACGCTCGCTCTGCCAGCCGTGGTGAGTTCGGAGGCATGGAACTTTGCCTCTCGTAGGCGAGGCAGGCTGGGCACATACTTTGGAAAGTTAAAACTTGGAAACGAAGATTTGTAAACATGGTGGCAAATAATCTCTGGCTGTTCTGACCCAACCGGGTTTCAAGAGAGCAAACACAAGACAAAGGCAGCAGCCCCCACCTTTTAAGGTTTAATCCACAAATTCTGTTTCTTCACAGATAAAAGACTGCTTCCGACTAATTAGCTCCGACAAGAAAGAGCCTTGCCAAGTTGTTCTTCAAGGCTGCCAAAAACCCACAGATAAGAAATAGTTTACAAGAGTTTTCAAATACTAACTATAATGTCCATGAGGCTGAGTTTCATAGCGTCTTTGCCTTCTGCAAAGAACGCTTCTTCAAACCTGGCTTTTATCTTCTTGAAGGAGGGGCCATTACCTTGCAGCCTTACTCCTGATTCGCCCGTGCTGTTGCAGCTGCTCTTTCCTCCGAGCAATCCTGCGCACACACGCACTTGGCACAGGCTCCTCGGGAACCTCCTCATCTCTGCTGCCAGCCCCCACAATCTCTGAAGGCAGCAGTCCACTCCCTAATGGTCCTGGCCCCTCATCTGAGTCCTCGCTCTCCTCAGCCGTCCGCACCTGCTGCTGGCTAACCACAACAGTGGCTTGGGTGGAGGATGAGGGCAGAGGTTCTTTCTCCGAGGTTCTGGGTTGGTTTTTTGAACATTTTGTTATCAGGCTGGGTAACATCTTCAGTGGAATTTAGGGGAATTCCTAAAGCTCAAAGAACAAACCTCTACCCTCATTCGTAAACATCCTGCTTCTGTGAAACATTGAAGGTGTTGGTTTTTTGCTTCTTCAACCCACAGGAAATAATAGTCAATAAGGGGCACATAAACTGCCCGGAAGTTAATTTAAATTGAGTAGACTCTAGGCCAAGGGTCTCCAACCTGGTCAACTTTAAAACCCGTGGACTTCAACTCCCAGAATTCCTCCAGTGCTGGCTGGGGAATTCTTGGGAATGGAAGTCCACAGGTCTTAAACTTGACCAGGTTGGAGATCCCTGCTCTAGGCAGTGTAAATTTCATAAATAAATAAGAGAAACAATCATTCTATCTCATCTGCTAAGTAGTCTCAAGCAAGCCCCTGTTTTTCAGTCTGCCTTCAACAAACTTTTCCCAAACGGGCACAATGCCACAGAACTCCTTGGAAAAAAGATGGCTGTAGCAGAGATGACAGATGTGTGGTATCGATGCCTTGTTGTCAAAGTGCTCTGTGACGTTGCTCTCGTCCTCAGTCCTTGCACGGGGCTGCTTCCCTCTCAAGAAGAAAAATTAAAAAGTAAAGTTTACGTGCATCTCTAAGAATAGATCACAAACCTCACATCTGAGTTGCTTTCAGGCTTCTGGGTGATATTCTCCACCTCAGTTAGCGCCAACACCAATCCCAGAATTTTTATTCTGGAACAGATTCCAGCAGCTTTCAAGAAGACGAGGAACGGACCCGCGTGAAAGCTTGGCGACAGATAGAATTGTAGGGTGTTAAAATATTTTATCCACGCCCTTCTTTTCTAGGCTACATCCCTGGGACTCCAGACTACAAGGAGAAGGAGGATATGTACGACGAGATCATCGAGCTAAAAAAGGTTAGAGCGAGCGTTTATGTTTCCTTCTTCTCCGTGGAATAAACAGAACATACTTTGGGGAGAACTTTACCGTAGTTCATACTCTTTTCTCCCTCTGAAGCCTGGTCTTCCTGCTTTCTGGGAAAGGTGTAAAAGCAACAGGGTGGGAGGGCAGCTGCTGAGGACCTAAAGATGTCCTAGGCAAGATGTCCTGGGAAGGAAAAGGAAATGAGATTTCTCTGATGCCACCCCTTGCAAGATAAATTTTCTCCTATCCGGGGGAGGGCTGCTGGGGGTTCGCAGGGGTTTGGGAGACCCTCTACTTAAGAATCTGTGCAGTTTGGAAAACCCCCAAATCCCACTCCTGCCTGGCCCCACCTGCCCCTCCCAGGAGTCCCCATGTGGGGGGGATGCAGGGCAGGCATGGAGGCTTAGGGAGGTCAAAAAAACGGGCCTCAGAAGTTCAGGAAGGGCAAAAACGGGCCCGTTTCTGGCTTCCTTAGAGCCTCCAGAGTCCGGGGAGGCAATTTTCTCCCTCCCAGAGGCTCAAGGAAAGCCTCCGGAGTCTGGGGAGGGCAAAACGCGCCCCTCCCCCCGTGATGCAGGAGGCTGACTAGGCCACGCCCACCATGGCCACGCCCACCCAGAGAACCCTTTGCTAACATTTTGGAAGCCCCCTCTGCTCCTGTCCTCTTGTTTCTGTTTACTGTCCCTTTGCTCAAGGGTCCTGAAAGGTTTCCTCCCTCCCCCGCCCCCTTTCCGTGGTAGACAATCCAAGCCCAGAAGTGCGAAGCGGATCGGATGAAAACCAAACTTCGGCGGGTGGAAGAAGACAACACGCGGAAGGACAAGCAAATCGAGCACCTTTTGGAGCCCTTCAAAGTAAGCCGAGGGTTCCCTACTCCGAGGGCCCCCACAGCGCTTTCGTCTTCTGACCGAGCGGGGATGCCTGTCGCTTTGGCCTTTCTGGGGCTGAGCCTGGGCAGGGCTAGCCTGGACTCAGCCTGAACTGCAAAGCCAAGCGACGCACGTTCTCTCTCCATGGTGGAGACACGATACACGGTCTGTTAAATACTTAATATATGTTAAAGAAAAACGTATAAATATTTTTTTTAAAAAAACTACTGACCATTCTCCAGTTCACTTAATGAGGAACGTTCAAGTGTTTTGTGTTTTTCTTTTCCAGTATTCTGAATTTAGCTGGGTACGGACAGAACAGAAAAATGAGAACAGCTTGGTAAATGCACCTTTTCGTCCTCTTCCCCCCACCCGCCTTTTTCTGTTCTGCATTTATAGCTTTCCAGAACCAGGAACAAACAATAAAGAGGCAACCTCTTCTTTTCTTTTTTTCCCCCCCCCTTCTTGGAATAGATGATAAACGGTTTGAAGCAGAAGATTCTCAGGCTAGAACAGCAGTGCAAGGAGAAAGACAACACCATTAAGTATGGGGAAGCGGTCAAATATTTTCTTCCCCTTGCCTCTTCCTTCTCGCAGAAGACCCAAGTTTTCCCAACAACAACCTGGCCACGGGGTTCTCCTTGCGCTCGTGGAAAACCGAACGCAGGCTGGGAGGGCAGAATAGGAAAATAAGCCATGTGTTCTCTTCATTTATTTATTTTGACTTATACCCGTCTCCCATCCATAAGGATCTGAGAGTAGAATCTCTGGTCATCGCTTAACATTGATCGTGATCCATCTGTATACTTCAGAAATCTTTAGGGGCGTTTTAACCTCTGTCTCTTTGGATTGTACCAGTCTTCCTTCTCTGTCTTGTTTTCCCCCAAAGCCAACTCCAGGCAGACACGAGGAATACCGACATGGAAGAAATGACCATCGCTCTGCGGACTTCCTACCAAGAGGTATGAAGAATGATTTGAAAGAGAGAAACATCGTTAAAAACATTCGGTTAAACAGTGTTTGCTGCAGTTCTGTAGGCTGTAGGCCTCAGTCTATGCTCATGAGCTCCCCTAGAAAACGGGGGATGTCAATAACCCTGACTCCTTTCGTGCCACCCAGCTATGCAGAGATCGGCTTATTCCACATGTTGATCGTGGAAGAATTTGTCCAGAACGATATAAGGACTTGCGCGCCCTTGAGCTCCAAGGTCCCTTCTAACTCTCTTATTCTGCTATTTTAACCCAATTGATACCGCAATCAGAGATACCAATGTGAGCCACCTCACAAAGGTATTCTCCAGATCCTAATTTGACCAACCAGATCCTGCAAAAGTAGAGATTATTCCCAGGAAGGCACAACCCACGGATCTCTAAGAATAAACAAAACCTTTTTACAACTGTTCAGAACCCTCGTAGTCGTTACATCTTTTGGATCATGCGAGACCATCTATTGATCACCCAAAACATTTTCTTCTGTCTTTTCTCTTGTCACTCCTGTTGGTTCCTCTGGTGCATTTTTTTTGCAAACGGAGAACCACCTTTGCTCGGGATCACCTGCCGTAGCCCAAACCCAGAAGGATTTTGCCTTTGAATGGAACTCGTTAGGAGAAAGAGCTACCAGTTTTGCGTATTTATGAAATGGCATATCCTCTTCGGTGGTCCTTGCTAGGTTGGTAAATAATCTCTCCCCTTTTTCAGATCCGGCGCCTCCAGAACCTGCTGACGCACTCAAAATCCATGCAACAGAAGTACGTGTATTATTTTGGGGCTTTCTGCCTGTGCTTAACTTTTTGGTGGCTAGTTTCTATTCTTCACTAAATGCTGTGCAGGAAGAGAAATTTAAACTTTTTCTTTAAAAGGCCATTGGCTAAGTGTCATTCTCTTTGTTTAGCTGAGTTAGCGGACTCTGTTCTTGTAATTCCCATAAGTAGCTGTCATTTTGCCTAAAAAATTGGTTATATATATGTGTATGTGTGTGTGTGTGTGTGTGTGTATGTGTGTGTGTGTGTGTGTTTTCTTACGTTTTCGCGGGTATTTATATGTATGGTATTCAGCTTTGTTCGGGTATTTTCCCACGTCATTGTAGTTGTGCTTTTAAAGTTGTAGCAACGTTTCGGCAGAATCTCAATCTGCCATCATCAGGCTTGTGTATTGTGTTCGTCTGGGAAAATACCCCAACAAAGCTGAATGCCATACATGTAAGTACGTGGCCACGGGGAGGCTTGCAACGGTCGTAAGTGTGAAAATCCCAAGTCACTTTTTTTCAGCGCCGTTGTAAACTTCAGTCTCTAAGCGAACGGTTGTAACTCGGGGACTACCTGTGATGACCCAGGGCGTGACTCAAAAATAACCAAGGCACAAAAATAGACTAAAGTCCCTTTAATGCCTCCAACTTTGCCCCAATGTCCAATTATCCTCAGCTGGAAATTAAACTCTTAAAGAAAATAGTTTACGGAGGGAGAAAATGCAGTCCGCACCCAAAGTAAAGTTAATTCGAAATTTAAAAAAAAACAACACAAACCACACTGAAGGAATTACTACAGCAGGCAAGGATGATTAATTGCAGACTTCTACTAGATAACTGCAGCTACCACAGTTGGGAGGAAGCCAAAACACAGATAAGGTCTGACAAGAATAATGCATGCTTTGTTTCCAGCACTGGGCCATGCGCAGTTTGTCCTTTTAAACAGTCCTCACAGCTGCAGCCCAAGAAGGGGATCAGGGCCCTTTCCTCCCCCATAGGCCATGCCACTCACGTTTCTCCCTTATCCGCTCCTCCCTGTGTGCCCTAGGATGAAGAGGGGATGAGCCTGGGTTTTCCTCTGAATGCCCAGCCGGCCTGTGCCCTTCCCCAGTTTCCTCCACAACCTCCTAAGCCACACTCCCACTCCCTGTCAGCTGTTCCTCCTCTCCCTCTGACTCAGACTCCAACGGGCATGACACTACCTGTAGAATTCACCTTTAATGTTTTGCTGAAGTGAGCTCTCTCTAACCCTATAAAAACCTGTTGAATTTTGTGTCCGTTGAAGTTAAATCTTCATAAACGCGGTTACTTCATTTCTGCTGCGCTGCAATTAGGGGCACAACGGTATTAAAGTCCAAAACTACATTTCAGAGCACAGCTAGTCCCCGACTTACGACCACAATTTTGGCCAGAATTTCTATTGCTAAGCAAGGCGGTTATTAAGCAAGTTGTGCCTGGTTTGCCACAGTTGTTAAGTGAAGCACTGGTTGCAAATTGTGAGCTTTGGGCGGTTCCTCCCAAT